TATTTATTCAGATGTTTGACAAGACAAAACCAAGGACATTCAGAATCAAATGAGAGGCTAAAATCTCACATTTGATAACTTGTCAAGGAGTCAACTGGGATACCTTCAAAAAAAACCCAAAAAACAAAAAACCCAAACAAAAAACAACAAGAACAAAGAAAAAAAACACACAAAAAAACCCAAAACCACACCAATAAAACAACCACCCCCACTAACCCAAAACAAACCCAAAACCCTGAGTAATCAGCACAAAAATATGGATCTAGAGGTTATTTAAAGAAAGCAGCGTTCATGGCAATCATTATTCAATAGGGATTTCCTATACCTGGAAAACCATTTATCTGTGAGATTCTATCTCATCTTCCTCAAGAGTCAGCCTGAGCAACAGAGACTTGCTGCTCCTTAGGTTTAGATATTTTTACTGTTGCTGTTTTAATTAAGGCCTTTACTTTTACCCTGGAACACAATGAAGTCACAATGACTGAATCAAGATGGACAGGGATTATCTTTTGAATACATGTCAGTGTCTTAATTGTGCATTGCAGAAGGCTTGGTTTTTAGTCAAATGTTGGGGGTTTTAAGCTGAATTTTCTCCTGAAAAAATTACTGGGGGAAGGGAAGAGATATTTTATATCTCTTTTCCCAAATTTCCCTTCCCTTCTCCAAAACTTATTTTACCTTTTAAAATATTTGGAGCCTAAATCTTCATCAGTGCAAAAATGTAAGAACAGACAGAAAGACCAAAATCTTAAGAGACAGACTGTGAGTTTTTTTAATTAAATATGTTTCAAAGTAATAAAGCTCAAATGTTTAGTCTGTGCAAGAGAATTCATTCAAACTATCTCCACCGAGATGTAGTTAGGAAGAATGGGATGTGTCCAGTATACTAACAATGGACTAAGCCATCTGTGTATGTTTTGAAGAGAATCTTGGAATGCTTCTGGATGAAATATAACACAGTGCATGAAAATTAGAGTGACAGATTACGAATATTTCAAAGATAATAATTTATATTTTGCTAGTACAGTAACACAATATGCAATTTTTTTTGTCTATAATGTTACATTTAAAGGTTGACTATCTTCACTTTTGATTAAAAGCATATTTTGACTGGGAAGATATACTTATAATGGTGCATACCACTGCACCAGCAGAGACTCTGCACTTCAGAGAAAAAAAAAAGCTAATTATGTGATATTTAATATTATTTACATGAAATATTTAAATATTTAAATTTTAGACTAATATGTTCTGATGATCAATATGATCACAGATGAGTGTAAAGCCTCTTTTTAAAAAAACTTCAGAAAGGGTTAAGAGAGGCCAAGGTCTGGTTTTGGAAGTTTCTTTACTCAGTGTTTATGAAAATCCAGAAGACAACACATACATAAAAGAGCAACAGATTCTTGCTTGCTAAACACCCTTACTCATTCTTTTTAGATGTAACTTTTGACTGAGTTGTTGCACAGAGTCCCAAAAGGTACAGTGCAGCCTAGCAGTTTTCTGCTGCAAAAAGGAGTTTGATGAAACTTTGCTGGACACACGTTAAACCAAGTACTGAGGATCAGAACCACATAAAAAAAAAAAATCTTCCAGTAGCAATTTTTTTTTCATTTACTCAGCTACTGTACAGTCTATGATGACTTGTTTTCCTTTAGTCATATGAACAGTTTGACAGATTACTGTGACAAGGTTACTCTCAAATTGATAAAAGGTTTGATAGTGTCAGAACATTTGTCAGAAATGTCTCACATCACGTGTAATGGACTCTGCACTTCAAGCATCAGTGGTACTCCAGTCTGTTTTTTATTTAGTGTGTAACACACACCACACAAAAACACACAACAGAAAGACTGAAAAGCAGGCAGGATTCACCAAAAGAGCCCCATACGTTATCAAACAATTCTGATTAAAGGGTTTCTTTTCCACAACCCACCTGGTAAAATGCAATTAAATTAAAAACTTTACACATGACTTAGAGGGTGGCCTCCTTACAAGAATAAACCTGGAAATGGGATGGGCTATGATAAATGTGTGTAACCATAAGAATTTCCAGCATTTCCTGTACTTCTGAAAGAGAAATATTGTGGCTTTAGAAGATTATTCCTCAGACCTGCCAAATGTCAGATATTACAAGTGACAGGTGTACTACTGGCAGCCTTGTCCCATGCTAGAGCAGAGGAAATGGGTTCAGAAGGGCTCATTTTAGGCACTGGCAGCTAGCCTAGGAGAACCAATGTGCTAGACATCAGCTAGCTTGGTGAATGCAGCTCCACAAAAAGCTTGTACTGCAAAATAATATGATTTATGGATTAGAAGTAAGGTTTTCATTTCACATCTTGTAGTAAATTATGCTAATACTTCTATGTAGGAAGCTTAAGAGACAGCACCTTCTGCTTGTTTGTGAATACCTGTTCACATGAAATCTTTAAGACATGGTGAGCCCCCAGCCACATAAGGTAGAACTCACAGAAGACAATCAGACGTACGGTCAAAAACTAGGTAACAATGTACCCTTTGTACTCTGATGAAGTTGAAGATGATGAAGTAAGTGGTCCCAAAAAGACCCCAGACCCAATTCTCAGGGGGAGGGCCCGGGGCGGACCAGAGGAAGGGCCAAAGGGTGGTCACATCTGGGATTGGATGGATAATGCTATAAAATGTAACCTCTCGGGCACGGCCGGCGCGCGCGTCTATATCACCTACTGCCTTGGCAAATAAACCCTTTCTTATCTCACCCCTAATTAACTGCTCCGGGGATTTTTTTCAGCACCAAAATACACAGGCAACATGTTCATATAGCAGCAGATTGCTAGTTTTGGTTTTAGTGGTGGAGTGGAGGGTGAGGGAGGGTTTGGGGTTTTTCTTTGTTTTGGTTTGGGTTTTTTCGGGAGGGGGCAGGGGGAAAGATAAGGGGTTTGGACCTTTATCCACTTCTACTGTGTAACCACACGCAAAGGTAAAGAAAATGTCTTGCAAAACATTACTTAGAATCTACATGCTGCCAGGACAAATTCCTCCATTTTCAGATATTTAAGTTTCCCTATATTGCCTTTCTCTTTTGCTTTGATAAATTCTTTTAATATTCTGAAAAAAAGGACAGAAGAACTATCTGGTTTCTCCTTGCTGACATTCAGCAAAATGAATGTCAGCGTTTTTCTTAAAGAGCATCTGTTCACACAGGAATCTCATGATAGCAAGACAAAGTCCCCTAATCATAGACCAGATTAAGTTTAGTGGAGCACATTAAAAATTTTGCCACAGTGCCAAAAGGAAGCTCTCAGATACTTGATGCGCACTTCCCATAAGCAGACAAGGGGTAGGGACGTGCTCCCTGAACTTCATGATTTAAGTATCACTGCTCACACCGTGACTTGAGCACTAGGCACCAAAGTTGTGAGGCTCCTTGAGGAATAACTAGTTCGGTCCTGATCAGCTGAAAGCATTTGTGTGAACTTGGGAAGAGACAGACTGCAAGAAGATTATAGCAAAAGGGCTTTTTGAAAGTCAGTAGACTACAATCAATTTATACATACTGAGGACCCGGCCCTTGAACTGGTATTATCTGTGACTGTCACATGTGGAAAGTGTCAATGAATGTAGTTTGTACAAATGTCAGACAGGTACACTCACGATTCAACTTGCATGAAATATGAAACATCACCAGCACTCTGTACTCCTGTGAACAGTGAGTCAGTTCTACCTGCAGTAGCTTTAACAGGAGAAAGTCACAGGAAAGAGTTTCAAGCTACCATAATTTTACTAAAGTCCAGGTATCACTTCAGTAAGGCTGCTAGCTCCACTCCTGGCAAGCCATGCCCACATAAAGCATACTCAGGGAAGTCTTTCAGGGTTTTTGATCAAAATCAGGAAAGGCAGAATGATATAAAACTGTAACAACCCATTAAATTGATACTGCTATTACAAGCTTCAAAACAACACTCATTTGGATTCAAGTCAGTAGATCAGCCCCAGACTGTTCCTTGCTTTACCAAACTTCATCTATTGATCCCTATTTGAAAGGCTGATTTGTAATGACAAATAGTAGAGATGCTGTTGTCTTTTGGAACAGATGATTCTACGGCAAAACCACCACAGTTCTGCATCATACAAGGGTGGATTTTTATTTTTCAAATATCTCCCTCCTCTCATTATAACACAAAAAAAATGTATTATCCTAAATTCCAGCCAGGTGATCTCTGGTTGGAATTTCAAATTGGATTAGTCCCGTCCTACACGACATCAGTACTAATCAAGACCTTGGAAATCCAATCAGGTTCTCATTTCTACCTATATTGCCCACAACATTCAGTTGAGTGAAGAAGGATAGAAGGGTGCAGTGCTTTAGGATATAGTTCTTTTGATGATACATGAGGAGCAGAGCTCTTTTCGCTGCCTCTTTGGTTTCAACAGGAATAAAACACAGTAAAACTGATATTTATCAGGACAATCTGTAAATATGACTTCAGATAAACAGGAGGGTAGAAGGTGCTACTTTCTACATCACCATTTTTCAGTGGAACTGCAGTTAGTTAGCTGTTCATTATACAGCTACGACACCACCTTCAGTGGGTTTCATACTTCTCAATCTTTGAGCCCAGCAACGTGTGACACGGCAACCATAAAATGTGATAGATTCGGGAAGGAACACCCATATTTTGCTGTGCATCAGGTTATGATTCACAGATCATTATAACTATAAAATTTGTCATTAGAGAGGTTTTCCTGTCATGCAGATTCTCCTGTTAACATAAGAAATCAACCAGATTAGAATAAACAGAAGTCACTGTGAAGGCCCTCACCTCCCTATTCCCCTAAACTCTTTACCTGAAGGTTTTCAACAGCCATTAATTAGCCATTCAAACTAAAGGAATAACACTTAACTTTCAAGTGTAGGAGGCTTCTGATGTCTTTTTGTGGTCACACATAAGTGTAAGCTGGAAGGCGAGCTTTGACATCTTCCTACCCCAAAGAACACTGAGTATTTTAAGTGCACTTACGGCTGGCACAGCTTGATAAGGTCCTGGTCAGTGGTGCCGGGTGGAAGGCCTCGAATGTACAGGTTGGTTTTACTCAACTGCTCTCCGCTGCTGTTGTTGCTGCTGTTGTTGCTGCTGTTTGTGCTGGGGCTGGGAGGAGCCATGGGGTGGGGAGCTGGTGCATAGGACTGCTGGAAACAGATCAAAACAAAAATGCTGTTACTGTAAAAGGTAAAAGCATGACAGACGCATGTGGTTTACCTTGGTAACTCCAGAACTATGCTATGCTTGGCCTACCTTCCCTGACCACCTCCACCTGGCTATGAAGTGCATTATTTTACTATATTTATATTATTTTACTATATTTACTATATTTTTTTAATTGGGAATTAAAGTAGCTAGATTATAAGTCTATTTTATCTAGATTACAAAATAAAGCTCTGAAACGACAGATACTCAGAGAGTAACCTGTATTAAAGAAAGAAGTTAAACACAATTTGCTCTAAGAGTACTCTAAGACACAAATAAGAATATGTAGCCATAGGTACAGAAGCTGATGCCAGAAGCCTACTTAGTCTTTTCTAAACATGAGGAGCACTCAGCACATGAACAGTCAGGTGGCAGAGAGTTGGCTAGCTAAGAGAGAAAAAAATCCAAAGCAGCCTGAAAAGACTCTGCCCTTACAGATGTCTTTCGCAATAGAGAAACAGGGTTTGGAAAAGACGATCAGGCTAAGACCTTCTGCTCTGAAAACCTTACCCACTTCTGAACAACCACAAACCACACACAACAACTGAGAAATACCACTTAAAAAAGGAGGCGTTCTCACAGGGAGAACAACACCCTCCCCACCCCCAGCTCCCTGGTAAAATACACGTTATGAAGAAAGACACACACATGCTATAAAAATTACCTAAACATCTCTGATCTGAGACAAAATTAGGGAATTTTAGTTGCTGCAACCATCCTCAGTGCCCTGACCACCAGAGTATTTACTCACAGCACAGAGTGCTTGCCAGGAGAATGGACAAATGGTTGGAAGTAGGAGGCTATCCTGTCACCACTGTGACCTATGCAAGAAAAACTGAGCTCTAGCGGTGAATTTATAGGAACTGGGGGATGCTGAGGGCCAAGCCCTAGACAGGCAGCCAAGGGAATGGAGTCAGAGCTCTAGGAATGTAACCATCTGCTGAGAGGGAGGAAATCCCATTTCCACAAGCTGATCAGCATATTCTGCTTGCTTTATGTGTGGTGACAACAGCAGGTAAATGTTGGGCCAATGCTAAGTTAACCGTGCTATGCTAATGGACTAATAAAGGCAAAACATCTGCAATTTTCATTATAGTAGCAATAACACTTAAGTGACTCCTAATATGCTCATTCTGCATTTAAGCCTTGAACAGAGAAAATATTTAAGTCTGTGAGTATTTCTGATCATGCTAATCAACTGCCCCTTTAATTTCAGTGGCCCTATTTTAGTGTTTATAATTATGCACACACAAAATCACAGTCTTGGTAGTTGGATATTTTTAAATTAGTAGGTCTAAACTCTTTCAAACAAGTCCCATTATTTAGAAGAACCAAAAAAAAGTTGGAGAACATAAGAGGAGCATCAGTGACAGGTGAAGCTCAGAGGTTTTGATGAAATGAAACACCACACTTGCAGTGATGCCTTTCCTGCTGCCTTCTCCTTCCTTGTTTCTCCCATTTAAACAATGAGAGGGGGACACAGCATCAGGTGTCAAGACATCAGAATTCTTCTGCAATCTCACCTGGTTGTAATGTGACTCAAGTAGGAGCCATTAAAAGGAGAAAACACTTCAATAGTGTGATCATCATGCTAGCAAGTAGTGGCATTCACTCTCTTCTACAGTAAAAGAGAAAGGACAATGAGCTGCCTTCCCCAAGTGTCTGCATAGACAGTTTTGCTGACAAGCAAAAGCACTTAATGCATTCAGATCATATTTCCCTGCACACACATTTTATCACTGGGTAATCCCCACCCACCTGAGCTTCAATGTCATTCCCAGAAATAGAGAGCTGAAGCAGCAGTCCTGAGTACCAGCACAGGGAACTGCCTCAACTGAGTACCAGTGATGGAGACACATCCTGGAAATCAGCTCCATGCCACAGCCCTGGCCCAGCTGGATAGCACTGTAGGCAACAGTAACCTCTATTAAATACATAGGCACCCAGACCTTCAAACATCCTGGCTGAAGCATAGTTAAATCTCTGTGCACTGCAAGGCCATGGAAGAGGTAGATATGACTGTATAATACATTTGGATTTAATGTATCAGGAGCTCAGGAAACATCCCATGGTAATCTTGCATATTTTGAGCATTCCTAAGCTAATATAAATAAGTGAATAAATAAAGGTCAAGGTGACACTCTTCCTGCTTTCCCCTACACCTCTAAGTTTACCATACATAATGAATCGACGCAAATGATGTAAAGCAATGAAAGATTTTTCCATAAGCCAATAAAGTTGTATGTACTTTAATTATTAATCGATATTATTATATATGTCTTAGCCAAGGATAATGAGTAAATGTCCTATTCTCACGTCAACCTAATAAGCAAGAAAAAAAAAGTGGAAATATACCTTTGAAATACAAAGAGCAATTTTCATTCTATTATAAGATCTTTATCCTCACACAGAGGAGAGCACTGGGAGCCTAATTCTAATTTAAGCTTAAGACATTTTATCCCTCTCAGACAGCTGAAAAGGGATGCAGAAGTGAACACGAATTACAGTTACACCGATTTTAAGGCCACAGCTATTAAAAAAAAAAAAAAAGTCCTCAGTATACAGAGAGAATGAGGCCATAGGACAGGTTGTCTTCCAAGTAAGAGCTGCTCAGACAATAGGCACACATGGATGCCTGGATTCACAGGAGCATCCTGGGAGACGCTTTAAGGATGGGCAGAGAGGCAGCCGCAACTCCAATTTGGAGGATGCTGATCTTCTCAGCCCAGCAAACCCTGCTATACTCCAAACCCTCTTCACTAATAAATCTCAGCCACAGCAGCCCACAGTAGTTTCCATGCATATCCAATACCCCAGAATACCATCCGCAGAAAGATTACAAAATTGCCTGTACTGAGGCTGATGACATCTTCTGGCCGGTTGCCAGACTAAAAAGCTTCAGGTTAGAAGAAAGCTTCGGATTCTTGTTTCCTGAGCCAATGAGTGTATGACTGATGGCAGAAGTATGCGTTTTGCCTCCAAATGAGCAAAGGGTCTGGTTTGTTAATCTCCACATAATAACTGGAGTGAAAGAAATTAATGGTAACCCGATGATGATCCCAGATATGGACCACTTGCTACAGGATCTTGGATGATACTGAAGCAGGGCACTGCCTGGGGAGCCTCCTGTGCACTCAACAGCAGGAAATTTGTGTCTTGTTCTGACATTGGACCTCTCCGTGGCTGAGGGCAAAGCACTTAACTTCTCTACCACAAGAGCCATAAGGAGCACCACTGTCAAGACTGGCTCAAAACACCCCAATACCAGCTGTAGAAATCTGGGAAAGAGGTTTGCCAGCACAACCAAGCACAGGACCTGCAGATCTAGAAAAAAAAGTATTAGGCAAAATCTATGTGTTTCACTTCAAAAGGAAGCTGGAATTCAGAGCTGGTTTTGCCATTAATTTTTCAAATAACCAATACAACCAACTAGTTTTTCAATTCTCATGCTTCATTATTCAGTGGGGAGTGTGTGGGGAGTGAACTGGTTTGTAGATCATTCCAAGCAGCTTATTAATGTAGCATGGATGGCTAAATAGGATTTGTTTTCATTTTGAAAAATGAATGAAATTTCCCCTTTTACATTATTTAAAAGTGAGAAATTAATGTGCTTAATTCTTATCCAGTCTCAGGAACACACCCTTGTGCTTAAACCCTGCAGTTCAGCTCTCTGAAACTAAGTGTCCCGTGGAAGTGCACACAGCTAAGCATGAATAATGATATACCTTGGTCTTTCTAACTAAATAGTCCAGAAACGCTGAACCAGAAGCCTCTTGGATACTAAACGAACAACGCTCCTCCTTCCAATATCCAACCTCCTTACACAAGAACAGTATTTATCTTCCCATGGCAACCAACTACTCTTTTGTAGTTTTTCACTTGTTGCAAGTTTAGGCTAAAGCATTTTTCTTTCAAAGCAAAACACTACTTTAAAAGACAAATTTCAAATATCTTTCACATACAATTCCTTTTGGACGGGAATCAGAGGTCCTAGATGCCAAGTTGTAGAGTCTGCTTTATTAGCAGCAGCTGGCTCCTTGGCAGGCTTCTGAGGTGGCTGGGCTTGTGGTTTTGGAGTAGCCTCTGAGCCTAGGATGCAGCTGGACAGCTATGCTAATGGACCGGCCAATTTGTTTGTAGTCACCTTTGGCTATCCCAAATTTGTACTCTTTTATCCACTTGAAAGGAAGGTCTTGGAAAGATTCCCCATTAACACTGATATGCTGACTTTTCCTATCATAGTGCATATTTTATATTAAAAAATTAATACGACACAGTCCTGCATTAAAACGTGTTATTCAAGCAATTGTGAACACACACTATCCATTTCACTCTGAACAGAGTGTTTTCCAGCTGCTAGATTCATCTCAGTGCCCAATTGCTACCCAATTCCCTTAGCTCCTGATGGAGAAAATAAGACAAAGTAAATACAAATAAATTGTGCAAATACCAGTTTACTGCTCACATTAGCCAAACACTGTTCTCTCTACACCTCAACTGTACAAAGATGTAATTTTTGTGACCTGGAGGGTTCTTACTGGCCAATTATACAAACAACGAGAGGATGCCACCAACTTTCAGCCTGTTGATGGGATTTTGGAGCTGACTGAACAGAAAATCCTGTATTAAGCAAAAGGCAGTCATCACAGTAGAAGAGAAAACAGAGTGATAGGGAAAATATAATAAAAAGAACTAGATAAAAGTCACAACAACTCTTCTGCCTTTAGTTTGCTTCCTCAGTGAGAAACAGTACCAGAAGGTAAGTTGTATTTCTCATCCATAGACAGGTGGAATAGAAAAGTGAATAAAAGATGAACATTGAAATGGGCAACACAAAAACCTCGTGTATTTTCAAAAGGCTGCAGTCAAGGGAGCTCAAATCATAATTTTCTTCCTGAGTTTGTAGGGCATTCACTGGTCTTGCAGAATCCAGCCATGACTA